GCGTGGGAGCAAAGTCGCCCGCGGCACCGCGCTTATTCAAAAGTGGCCGCACGTAAAGCCGATATCTTACTCTCGAATGCTCCATTCGTTCTTCTTATGGTATATCCTGCCGGCGACATTCTTGCCCGCGTCGCGTAACTTCTGCCTGATCGCGAGGTAAACGACGAGTTCTAGACGGATCTCTCTCGATGATAAACATTTCGAGGAAAACGGTCTAAATCCATTCCAAAAGTGCGAAGAAACAGACAAGCTCCATGTGTTCGTTAGCCCCGCTCCTCCTAGCATAACTTATTAATTACGGTTGACTAATGCTCCCCAGCTGTGGCGCAGCCTTACCTCACCTTCTTTCCTCCCCTTCTTTCTCCACCGGAACAGCCCTTAACCGAGGGGCACGGGACGAGAATAGTAATGGGCGAGGGAGGGGGAAGAAGAATGAAGGTCGGATGACGAGAGAGAGAAGAAGAAGAAGAAGAAGAAGAAAGGTGGGACAGAAGAAGAGAGTACAGGGACGCTTAGGCAGTAACTCACGCCCCCGAGAGGATTACCTCTACCTTGGCAAGCCTCTGGAGGGAAGGAGGGTGTACCCCACGGTTGAGCTACGATCTTGCTGCGTAGCTACGCGTTCCTCATACCGAGTGTCCCCGCCGCTCGTGCCTCGCAAACAGAGAGAGAAAGAGAAAGAGTCTCGTGAACGTTTCGGGAGGGACGTATTATACCGGAAGCTTGGGGAAGCTTCGAAGCCTGGTTGCCGTGTTTCCAACGTTCTCCTCTAATTACGTTCACGATTTACACGGTCAGCTTGCTTTTGCACGATGTCTCTTGTTTCGCAAGCGAATGATGAAAAGCTGATTTTTCTGAGGAATTTTTTGAGGTAGACGGATAATTGGGAAGAAATATTTTTTCCAACGAAAAATAATCGAGAAATAAACATTTCTTAATAACAGTGGTTGTATGAAGGAATAGTGGCTGAAATTAATGGTTCGAGGTAACAAGAAAATGCGCAACGTACGAAAGGTCCCTGAACCTATTAACTTTAATACTTACAGATTACTACTACTGCCAACCTGTATACCTCCATAATATATACACCATTATAAAGATAATTGCATTGTGAATTTTATCAAAAATGCTTCTCTACGTGTTCGATAATTTCGATTAGATATAGTTTTGCGTGCAAGAGAAGAAGAAGAAGAAGAAGAATCTGTCGGGGAATCCTCCCAATTCACTTACTTTGATTTGATCGTGCATGATCCGTCCAAGGGAGCACGATCGACGAGGGGTGGTCTGGTCTCGTGTTTTGCGAACCGTGGATCGTATCCCTGGCAGCAATCAACGTATTGGTTGTTCTTATTAGAGCTGGCACGGTCTCTTCCTTGTTTATGCTCGGGCCACGTCGAAAGTTTCCAATAAGGGATGGAAGGCCCATCATGGCCGCCGTTCCAAACGAGCCGAGAGAATTGGAATTTGCCTGCTCAGCACGATTGGAAGGAATCGATCGTGTCTTTCATCTTCTTCTTTCTTCTTCTTTCGCGGTTTTTATTAAGGTCAAAAATTTTCGATATAAAATTGACTGTTAACATGATAAATCGTTATTTTATAAGGAGAACATTCTTCTTCTTTTTTTTTTTTTTCGAGGGAAATATCTCCACTCTTTTTCGAGAACAAGTTGGGTGATCGCGCCCCCCCCCTCGAGAGACGCTCTTCTTCTTCCAGGATGAAACACGTTTCACGGTCTCAGCATAAAATTTATCCACCCCCTTGGTTAAACAGCCACGCACGACGCCTCTTTTCCGGGGCGGCCTTGGAATTTTTCCCTTCAACTTCGTTTCCAACCCACGATATCCCACGGGGGGCGTGCGTAAGCTCGAGGGAGGGTGTGGGGAACTGCGATGGCTGCGGGGTTCTCGAGGGCAAGAATCACACGAGAACCATTTATCTGCTTTCGTTTTCTTCGAAATGAAAATAACCGATCGAAACGAGGATTTGTTTAACCCGGCCGGTCGAATCAACAACTCCGGATGAATCTCTTGGCTGACTTGAAATCATTTCAAATTAACGTGATATTAAAAATTTATTATATTGTTGTGTGATATTTTAATAATAAAGTAATAATTAAGAAGCATCCTCGGTTCGTCAAATATCACGATAAAATATCATTGATTGTCTTATTTTCCATCTTGTTACGCTACATCTCTATTTTTCTCACTTTCTTAATAGAATAGAAATAATTTCATAACGAAAAATTCATCTCGAACTAATATACCAATAACTCGTTACTCTTTTCACTCTTCTCTCTACCGTCAATATCTCAACGAATAGAAAATCGTGTCGTTTAATAACGAGAATTTAAACTCGTCTCGAACTAATTTCATTCCACGCTTACAAAACTCGGAAAATAATATTTCTATCGGCACGAATCGAATGTCAAACTCGGACCAAACTCTTATCTCGGATAAAAATCATTTGTATTATTCCACGCTTTATAAGATTATACTTGAACAGCCTTAAGGGAATCTATTCGTGGAGCGAAGAATATGTTTAAAAAGAAAAACCAAGCGTAAATAAATATTGTCGTTCGTGAAACTGTTAAGGAATAATCTTCTTCACGAAAAAGTAGAAATCGAATCCAGATAGATCGAAATAGGGAAAGAAAGAAAGAGGGTCGATGGAAAATTAAGAAACCTTTTGCGGAGGAAGGGAGGCGGCGGCGGTGCTTGTCACATTTTCTACTTTGCGGAGACGTACGAGGCCGGCTTAATTGGCTGAAGCCCCGGTTTTATTTATAAGTTCGAGCCGAGTCTATCGAGCCCCTCCCGCCACTCTGTTGCGAGGAATACCGGGCCAAGGGGACGATATAACTCGGACGAAACGTAGTAGAGGGGTATTCTCTCTCTTTCCGTTCCACTCTGGGGGTTGGAAAGGAGACGGTGGAGGAGAACGCGTGACAAATAACCCTTATAAACGGTTCCCCGTAACTCTGCGGCCTCCGCTTGACAAGCTGAAATGAAAATCATGGGGATGTTGCGCCGCCGCTTCGAGAGAAGAGAACTGTCGTCGTGGTGGGAGGAAAGCGCGAGAACGGAGGCGGAGGAGGGAGGTGGACACTTGATTACATTGCGATAATATACATGATGCCGATATGAACTCTGCCGCGGCCTGTTGTTCCTCGTCTGCGCGCGATATTGCGTAATGGCCAACTGGAAATGGTCCAGTGGCGTTGGTGGCGCGGCTGTTCGCGCACCCCGTCGATATAATAGATAGGCACGGATACGATTGTAAATATGACGCGTTTATTGCCCGAATCGAGAATTGTTGTTTCCCGGGAAAACGTTTGGAAAAACGTTTCGCGCGCGAATCTGATTCGAATTCCGCTCGGATACGAAATTCGTTCCGGCCGGATAAGAAATCGGCGATAAACTTTACCTTGGCTGGATAACATTCACAGAGAGTTATGTTGGATGGAAATAACGTTGTGGTTGTTGTTTAAGGGTGTTTACGTTGAAAAATTTCTTTTTTCATTTCGAAATTGTAAACTATTTCGACGCCATATTGATTTCATTTCAGTCACGTGATCGGTCGATGAATCATGGCGGCGGCTCGTACGTGTACGCGAGAAATTGACTTGATCGTTAAACAAATTTACATTAACTGACTTAAAAATCCTTACTGAGTGATATTAATTTTCCGAGCGAAAACCAGTCGATCGACTAGGAAAAGGGATAGGATAGGAAAAGTGTTGTCGTCGAGTGGTGGAAATCGTATTATACGAGCGTCGTTTACGTAGTTCGATATAAAGCGTATGCGAGCAGCAAAAGACTTGGTTGCTTACGGGCACAGAGGGTTGCTTTGGTCTCGGCTGTTGGCAGAGGTGAAACGGGAAGGTTTTTACGAGGCAGTAACGGCCGATAAGGTGAGCTTGAGCCCCCACAGACGGGTTTATTCCGGTACTGCACCCAAGTGGCTGTTCGACAGAGTGTAGTACCTATACTGTCCTCTTACTTTCTCCTGGTGGCTTGCTGTGCGACTTTGCCAATGCTCTATCTGAAACCGTTTACGCGCCCCTTTTCTCCTTCCTTTTTTCCTTTCTCTCTCTCTCTCTTCTTTTTTTTTGTCTTCAACTCGTTCTTTCTAAAGTCTCGCTTAGGAGTTATCCCGGTCCCTTCGCGTTATCGACAATGTTACCGGGATTTCCGAGCTGGCTTCTTCGAGCCCGTTCACACAACGTCTTACACATCCCGAATACCGGTATTTGTAGCTTAGACGATCCAAAGAAGTAAGACCGGATTAAAAAAGATCTCGCGATGGTTCCGTTTGAAATTCTAACGCGATATAATAAACATTCTAAAAGTAAGAATTTCTACTTTTGGTAGATTCGAAAAGCTTTAACGTTTTAAACGAGATACGAATAGTCGAAGGATAAGGATACGTATGATTGGTGGGGAGGAGGAGGGAAGGGGGCATTCTACCGTCAACGTTCGTTTCTTATCGCTCGATTCCCTGTGAAAAAGTGTACGTTAGAAAAATTAGTTACAAAATTTGGCGAGTTAATATTTTTAATACACACAACGCACGCGATTATAATACTTTGCTACAAAAACTTCAATACTTTTCTTGAGTTTATAACGGTATCGTGTTATTATTCGTGTGTATAATCGTAACCTGATCTAATCTAAATTACGATCTCTGTACGTAATAAAAGTTGAATGAGTGAAAATTGAGAGATATTTATAAAGCTTCGATAAATACTTTTAATTAGACCCATCCTCTCGATTGTTCAACTTTTACTATACAAAGAGATATACGAGTAACGTTCGCACCTTCCGAGCCAAACAAACCTCGAAAGAGATATAGACGAAAATACACACGTACGTACGTGTGTACGTGCGTAAATGTGTATTATTCGGAAACAGGGCCCCGAAAACGAGGTCCACGAAAAGACACGCGATCTCTTCCCTCTGTGGAGCTCGTTTGAACGTTTGGCCTGCGGTTTTGTTGGTTGCAGGAGCGAACGGAATGCGCAGGCGCGGCCGCCAGACCTACACGCGCTACCAGACGCTCGAACTGGAGAAGGAATTCCACACGAACCACTACCTCACCAGGCGGAGGCGGATCGAGATGGCACACTCGCTCTGCCTGACGGAACGGCAGATCAAGATCTGGTTCCAGAATCGGCGGATGAAGCTGAAGAAGGAGATACAGGCGATCAAGGAGCTGAACGAGCAGGAGAAGCAGGCGCAGGCGCAGAAGGCAGCGGCAGCAGCGGCCGCGGCTGCGCATCAGCAGCAAGCGGCCGGTGGGGGACCGGAGGGGGCCAACTAGGGGTACGCCCTGCACCGGAGCCCCCCTGACCACCCCACCACCAATCCACACCACCCTCTGCTAGCACCGCAATGTACACAGCTATATTAAAGGTGAGTGACTTCTTCGATACCACCGACCATTTTTATTATTTTTCCCTCCTCTCCTTCTTCTCTCCCCTTCCACGTCTATCTTTTTTTCCTTCCTTCTTTTTTCCCCTCCTCCTCTCGCTTGCTCGCGTCCACGCTTCGAGCCTTTCCCTCCTCCTCCTCCTCCTCCTCCTCGCTCGCTTAACCTGTTAAACGCCAATTTCTAGCTCGATCGAAAACACCTTCTGTGCGCCTTCGAGATCGGCCTCGAGATATATTTTATGCTTTCGGAAATTGTTTCGGGCTACTCGTTCGAAATAAATCGAGCCGCAATTATGTTAAACGAATTGATATACCAGTCGAAAATATATATTTTCGAGAGATATTATTTTTTTTTTTTTTTTTTTTTTTTTTCTCTCTCTTCATTCATTCGTTCTTCAGAAAATGAGAAAATTTTTCTTCTCCCAGAAAAGTATAAATTATCGATCTTGGCACGGAGTCAACTAGACTTTTTCACAACCAGCAAATTCCTATTAAAAACGCATCGAGAAATTTTCTTTCTTGTCTTCAAACGAATTGGCTGCAATCATGGAAAGCTTACGTTTCTCTCTTTGATAAATCTTCCAACGAGCTAACCCTTCCGAATTCACGAGGGGTAGCTACCCGGTTGGTAAATGGATTCCTCGACGAAGTTGAGCATTAAGCCCGATACATCATCGGCGAAAATTACCGGGATCCCCGGTAAAGAAAACGTCGGCCACAGTTTGTTGCGAATGGCGGGGAAGGAGGGAGGGGGGGGGGCTTTTAGCCGACTTCCCGGCCTTTAAAATTAAGTTTAGCCGGTACACTTAATGAGGATAAACCACCTGCGAGCGTGCCACCACCATAATTTTCCAAGTTATTCTGTTTGCGTGCGTTCAAGCGCTCCTCTCGCGAGCGTTCTGCATCTCAAGGATGGTTGTTCTTGTTGGCCGAAATGAAATGTGGCTCCATCGTGATTCCAATATATTTTTCTGTATCGCGGCTACAACATTTTGCAAGATTCTTCTCGAAAAATTATCCAACTAAAGAAATTCGAGAAGATGCGAAAAAGTGAAATCGTTTCGTTGAGAAAAAAGAAAAGAGAAGAAAGGAAAGTAGAAAGTTTTTGGCTGGCCCAGGTAGGGCCAGGGAAAAGAGAGAGAGAAAAAAACAATTTCGCCAAAAGAGATGGCAATTTCTCTGTCGTTGCGCGTTATCTCGCTCGAGAATCCTCTTTGGTATAATTTGTACTTCGGTCCACGGGGCGGTCATTCGTTCCCAGAAAACGAACGACCCTTCGAATTGCCAAGGCAATATCGGGATGTAAAAAAAATAAAAAAAAAAAAAAGAAAAGAAAAAGAAGAAGGTCCACGCTTTTTCTGCGCTTTCACGAAAGTCTCTCTCTCTCTCTGTCGACTTGCTACGCCGTTGTCTACCCGGCTTTTATGACTCTTTCCATGTTTGGCCGGGGAAAAAAAGGATTCCCGGGAAATGTGCTTGCTCGCCCGTTGAATGCTTTGTGCCGGCCATGCCGACATGCCGCTTTCGTTTTGACTCGTTATTACGTCTCTCCCCTCTTCCCTTTCGTGTTCACCACGCTGGATTTTCTTCGTCTCTTGTATAACCAGGAAATTAATCGTTTTCGAGTCAACTTGGAACTCTTTTCTCGTCCAGATTTTTATCTTTAAAGATAACAAATAAGTGGGAGAAAATTTTTCAAAATCTCGATCACGGCCTTTCTTTCTAGTTTAATTAAGTAACACGAAACATAAAACTTGTACAATATAACCGGAGGAAATTTTCTTGAAATTTTATTCTCGAGGACCTCCTCGTTATCAGGGGAGTGGAGGGAAGAGAAATTCGCGCGATTAATTCTTACCCGATTGCAAATCACATCCCCTTCCCCGGTTTTCCAGATAAACGGAAAACTTTACAAAGTTCCCTTTTGTCGGCGTCCTGCCGCCAGAGGAATTCGCCAATTAACTCCACGAACCGCGTCGGTAATTGTAGGCTGCGAGAGCGTGCCGATTCCACGATACCGATCCAGTTCTTCAGCCCGCGATGTTTAATCGATGGACTCGTCCCCTCCCTTTCCTCCGTGAAATCCGAATTTCGCTTCTCCCCACCGTTGTTATCCAACCTTAAAATAGGATTTTAGCCTTGCAAATAGCCGGAGGCATAGTGCATGCATGCATCATGCATGCACTGCTAGCCCCGTATCGCGCATCAAAGTCTCCACGGAACGAGGCAACAGCAAAGATTCGGAAGATTGATGCGCCGGGAAAAGGTATAAGATCTTTTCAAGCTCTCTTCTTAAGCTAGGATAAAAATTTATCGTGAATTCGATCGTCTACTTTCGAATTTTCATCCTTCGTTTCGCCGAATGGTTTATATTCTTTTTTTTTTTTTTCTAAAATCTTGAACAACAAAGAAGATTTAATTAGATAATAATACGGTAGAACTGGAACCATTGAATTACAATTTATCATTGAAATTTCTCCTAGGCCACCGATTATTATCCGATTCGTTTCTTTATTGCTCGCGTTCTTCATCGCTGCGTAACCGCGTGCCGGTTTTTACGACGCAAAGTAGATCGTTAGGTTCGGCGTATGGGAACACTGCCAGGAGCTATAATCGCGTTACACGGTTGGAACAGTAGCGCGATTGCGGCTGGTGGAAGTAACGTCATCGTATCGGGACGCGGAATCGATTAGCGGGACGATAAATTACGATTTGAATTATATTACCATATTAATTACATATTTACGACGTTATTTATTAGGGTGCGCGTCTCTGTTGCATTGTTTCGCGCCCTCATTAAATCGCGCATCGATAGCGGAGGGGGCCGCATTAAATTCGCGACTATGCCACGCTTCGATAATATAACGAGATATACATATTTCAGGGCCGTTTTTTCCCCGCTTGCCGTTGAATTTGCGTGAAATTTACATTTCATTGTCGGCGCCGCTCGGCCGCCCGTTTTTGTCCGCCACCGCGAGGAAGAAACACACAGGGGCTGGAGTCCAATTAAGAAAGCGGGCGGCCCGCTACGCGGCCGCGCTATCGTACTCTCTAACCTCGTAGTCACGGCCTAAGAATTTGATGGACCTCTCTCTCTCTCGAGAGAGAGAGAGAGAAAGGCGTGCTTCTTCCATACGTCACCCCTTTTTCGTCGCCTAAATAAAGAACCAACGGGACAGCAGCCGATTTTTCTCTCTTCCTCGCCCGGCCCGAGTCGAGAAGCCACCAGCACGCAGATATACGCCAAGATAAATTTTGACAGTGAACAAGAAAAGGCAATTTAGAGGAATTCCGGCGATCTACTTTTATAGGAAAGTTTGCCCGGTATGGGCGATAAATCGCGCCAACCGGCCCGAGTTTAAAAGCTAGAAATATTTAAAGGTACAATATCTCGATTCCAAAATCGTGTTTCCGAACGGGGATTACAGGATCTATGGACTTCTCAGCCCGTTGGATCGAGTTCCTTTTCGACTTTCCAACTTCATTGTTTTTTTTTCGCGCGAACGTTATTATTACGTATTTTGTTGATCTTGTTGATCCGTATTCTGTCGAAGATATTTGATCGAATTGAAGTGAATTTTAGAGTTTGTGTTTGAGTAGGAAATTCGATGATATTTTAATGATGGTAGCGATCATAATAGGTATAGATGATATAAGTAGTATAAACAGTTTTATACGCGAACTGTTATTTTGTCTATGGTATTGCGATGCCATCTAGTGGCTTTAACGACACGGAGCTTAATTATGGCTGCCTCACTCCTGCTTCCGAGGGCGTGGTTAAGGCGGGGACGAACGGCGACGAATATTTCGTCGCATTGGCTCGTCACTCTGCATCGGTCATCCGCTCGTCCATCGATATAAATCTTCGTTTTGCGAAAGAAATATTTTTTCCTCGATCATTTCACGACAATCCGAGTGTTGTGTGGAAATGTGTGCCGATATTTTGTGATAAAACGAAAACGAAAACGAGAAAATCTTCGAGGTGGAAAATTTCTGTAGCGCTATATTTTATTAATTGGTCGTTTCCGTCGTAGATGGCAGCACGGGTCGACACATTCTCGGTTGATAAAGCAACGATTCTGTTTTACCGACGCCTCAATCGGTACACTTAATTTAGAAGTCGCTCCTACTTACCCAGCTTAACGCTATTCTCTACGGTAGTCCAATGATTGCCGGTAATGCATTTTATGGTTGTTTTTATCGACGTGGTCGTACAGTAACTTACATTGATGATTCTGGTTCTCAACGTAGGGCTCCGCCGTCCGTGTAGGAGTATGAGGAGTGTGTGTACGAGGACTCGTGCATCGTGTATACATGTATGCAGTTCCGCTGACTCGGCTGGAATTGCTTGCATTTTCCCGACGAACGCATTCTCACGGCTATTCGTCAATAATCCAATAAAGCCGCGCTACTAGCGGCCTCATGAAGACGGAATAAAGTACCGACAGCGTGTGATTTTATTGCGCAGTAAAGCGTGATTCCGACAGATTGATGCACGATTTTTTCTTTCTCTCTTTATCCCGTCTTCTTTCTCTTTCTCGTTCGTTCTTTCACCCGTATATATTCAACTGCTCGCTCGTCAAACGGTAGGTCGGGGGGATCTTTATTGGCTGTAAAGGAAGACATTTTACGATCCATAAAAGCGTTTATAGCGCTCGAGCAGTCTTACCTCGGTTCTTACACCCCGGTTATATCCATTACCCCTTCCGCGGCCTTTCCAAGGGCGGCCACTGGCACGCGCTCTCTCCGCTTTGAGATTTACAGGTTACGCTCCCGGTAACACCTCGTAAACTTGGCTTAACGACTTTAACCGGGCCTAACTGCTTCCTTCCTGCAATCAGACCCTGACCTACCTCCCGCGTAGACGTCCTAGAAAAATTTCAGCGTGACCATTGCCCGTGAAACCGCTATCCCTTTATCTCCCATTCAATTTTTAATATTTACGACATCCCTATACTTTTATCACTCACGATTTAATAATC